TTGTCTTATTCATTTCTCTTATCTTTCTCACTAACACAAATACGAATTTGTAGTAAATCCATGTTTTCAATCTACCAGGCACTTATTTTCTTGAAGAAATTTTACCTCAATTACAAATACAGTAATTTGATTTATTCAAATCATAAAGACTAAAGCTTTATTATTTGTATTAAATAACTGTTTCTTGTTATTAATTAAATTAATATTGCTATTTATCATTTTCAAATTTTTGATTACTCAGTTTGAAATTTCGCTTATTTGAACAGTTTGCAATTCATGCATAGAATGTAATATTTGATTTACAATCAGTTTTTAAATTTCAGTTTCAAATTTATTAAGTTCACTAAGTGCTGATTGGATAAAGCTTTATACATTGTTTTTTCTACTAGCAATACTTGTTTCGTAGCAAATTGACATATGGCAAAATTGTAAACATTTAAGTAGTAAAATGTAATGTCTTATTAATTGCTAGCAGATTTTATATATTAATTTAGGCTTGGATGACCTCTGTTTCACCTGCACCCACACCACATGACCTGCAATCGCCATCTGAATGGGTTAACAGGCCTGAATCTCGAGCATCTATCCGATATGTGCCAATCAATCGTTTGCCTTTACTTTTTTAATATTTGCATATATTAATCATAAAAGTTTGATTTTTGAATTAAACACAAATTAGAATCTTTTTATAAGACAGATGTTATTCGTGCTTTTATTTGAGATTGCTCAGAAAAATAGTTTTAATCATTTATTTAATATTCTTTTACATTAAGCAAACGATAAGATAGTTCAAAAACTATTATCACTTCACGTTTCTCAGTATGACTAACTTGCAATTAAATATTTTTTCACTTTTGTATGGAAATTTGAAGTCTTTAACACTTGCAGAAATTATAGAAATATTTATATCATTTCAGTCAAGATAACGAGAATTAAAAAAAGAGTTACATATTTAATTCTCTTAGTTGTCTTATAAAAAATATGTTGAATTTTCATGCAGAAATTCTGTATAATATCTACATTTGCAAGTTTTTTCCCCTCAAACACTAATGTTATATTTGATGAAAAGCAAGCATTTGTAATATAAATAAGCGCATAATTATTTAGATGCTGGAGCGATACAAAATACTTTGGATACTATGGTGGAAAGTGTGAATGCAACCACTGAACTTATCCAACGAAAAAAAAATGAATATGTGAATATTATCATTTCGATTTATCAATTTTTAACACTAACAGTAATGCCGTTACTAATAAATTTCTTTTTATGGATAAAAAGGTTGACCTGAAATTTTATTAATAACCGCAATGAAGCTACTCTAGAAGAGCATTTAATATACAAGTTAGAACATTGCTGGCATTCAATTAAACGTTTGTTTTTTGATTTACTCCATTAATCACAAATTTTTTCAACTGCTCGCATCTTTTTGAGCATTAATTTTTTCGATAAAGAAGTTTTTGATTAATAGAAAATGCGTGAGTGTATATTACTTAGCTTGGAAGCAGCTTTTTGAATCATATTTTTTTCAAAAAAATTTTAAACTTTGTTTTTATCACTGACGTAGTCTAAAATCATACTTGTAGTGAAGATAATAAACGATTTAAAGTTGAAAGATCTAATAAAAATGAGCGCTTATTTTTTCTCAGAAACAAATTTTCGATATTACTTAAGCAGAACAAATCTATGTGTATCTAATGAATACGCACTTCTGTTTGGTTTAATCTCATGATTTTTCAATTCGCTTGCAATTTTATTATAGTCAAATATTACTAATTTCTTCTTATCAGTAACAAATTTAATTTAGAAACACATATACTTCATTATCACTCATTGTCAGATTCTTTCAGTTACTTCTATGCTAGAGCATACTATCAGAATATGTTCTAACACAAAATTTTTGGAAGTATCAGATTTGTACATTTTATATCCCGCATCTCATTTCATGATAATTTTTTATTATATTCATTCCCCATCGTTAATCAGTAACAAATTTAATTAATTTAAGAAGCACATATGATACTTTTAATGATGACGAAAATATAATTTGAAAGTATAATTTGGGCAGTAATTTTTAATTCGTTTATATTTTTTTCATTGCATTATTTAATTTTATTGTAATAATATTACTTTTATTTTTTAAAGTAATCTTAAGAAAATTAAAAATTTGCATAAATTGAGCAGGTAATGGAACAAAAAACATTTCAAGCAGAAATGGAAGTGACAGGAAGAATATCTGTTGAACCAACGGAAGATTTGCAAACCACTCGATTAAAATCCATTAGTACAGAAGATATGTACAAAGAACTGACCAAGGTTAAGGATGACCAAAGTAATATTAGTTTAATTTGCATTCAGTTCAGTTTACTTTAACTTCATTTTATAATGTATAAAAATGAATTGCTTGCAAACGCTAATAAATGACAAAATTAATATTTAGCATTTAATTTTAAGCATATTTGTTGGCAGCAATTTTTTCTTAGAATTGTTTATAAATAAATGATTTGTTCTTCAAAATTTAATTAACTCACTTGATGCATCAGAATTACTAATTAGCTGCTTCAACTTTCAATGAAGCATTTTGACTATCATTCAAAAGTTTATTTGTAGAACAGAACGCAGTAACAGATACCTTAGCAGCACTGGTTTATGACATCGATGCTACAGCTGAAGTACTCAGACGTGGTTCTATGAGCAGGAAAAAAAAACAAGTTGGAGAAGTAGGAGCTTCAAATTTGAAAATAATTAAAATTATAAAAAAATTGAGAGAGTAAATTTTATGATGGCAAGAGAACTTTTGCAATTCTGAAGACTAACTATTTGTTTTCAATGCAGAACTAAAGCAGAAATTTAAATTTGAGCTTTCAAAACTATTTCATATTATTTAGCAATTTTTTTCTTGAAAAGTTAAAATTTCTTCTTCTTTAAAAGTTAATCAAAAATGTCATTGCTTTATGAATTATTAAAAAAGGTTTAGTAATTGAACGCAAACAATTTTCCACCTTATCATTTAATTCAATCACAATGATATAACTGCTTATTACTTTCATTACTTCCAGGAAAAAATTTAAGATAGTTGACATTTAGGAGATTACCGATTATCATTTGCGTTTAACACCTAATCCAGAAGGAGTACCTCTTCCCATGCCAAAATTACGTGAAGGTATAATTTGTGCAATCATTTTAAATTCGTTTAAATGAATATCTTTTTATCGTATTAATTAATTTTATTGTAAATGATATTATTTTTCTGTAAGTTTAAACATTACGTTAAAAGTTCGCAAATGAAATGCTATAATAATTTATTTCAATTGAGTTTTTTCATCCGATGGAATGAATTTGTTTGTTTGTATGCCTTTACATTTGTTTCAGCAATATCATATTCAATTTTGAGTACTCGGGAGAATTTATTTGTGATCCAAAAGTGATTACTGATTCAGAATTTTTACTGAATACAATTTTTTTTCAGCAGTAGAAAGTGACAGTTTTACTTTAGAACGTATCTCTCAAGATTATGGTGTCGAACTTTCAGAATCACAAACGTAGGAATTACATAACTCTATTTTAAATTAACACTAATACAAGTAAACTGAAAGTTTAAAAATTTTTCTTCTAAAATTTCTAAAAATTAGATTACCTGCAAAATTTGAAATGTAACAATCATACTTCTAGATAAGTTTATAGGAGCAGTATCAAAAAACGGGCTCGATCTGAAACTCCACGACGAATGCTTAATATTGAAGTAATCTTAACATTTCAAAATCCCTATTTTGCAGTAAAAAACGAGAATTTTCGATTTATTAATTTTTTTGTGGTGCATTTTTATAAGTTTAGTCTTCTAACAGTATAGGTATGGAATTTTTAAGTTTTGAAAGGCCTACCATAGAATTTATCTAAAGTCTAGCGTGAAGCTTTAAACTGACAGGTCTTTTTGTTCAGTCATATTTTCCAAAACAATATTTTCTTCCTTTCGCATTGACCTTCTATTTTTTGATCAGCTCAGGGAATCAGTCATGTCTACTTTTAAATTATTAATACATTATCAGCAACTGATAATTTCAGAGTACTCCACCCCCGAATGCACTACCCATTTGCGCATATTGTTCAGAAGAGATCAGTGGTGCAATTATTACGGCTTTGTCACCAAATTCCTTTTATGCTCAAAAATTCCATCCGCATCATTTTATGTGTTCATACTGTCAGAAAGTAATTGTCATGAATTTTGTGATCTGATCAATCAGCAATCTAGAATATTCAAAGTGTAAGAATGAAACAGTAAATGAAGTGAAAATTTTGATTTTAATGTTTGATTTTTGCAACTTATTTATCGATAACTTTTGCTAGTTTAGTACTTGTTCAGATTCTTTCAAAAACTCTATGGAAATTTGAACATTTAATTAATTTAAATTTTTACTTCATTTACTGTTTCATACTTACACTTTGAATATTATCGCCACAAGCTTTAAGTACAAGTTTTAAATTCATATTTTTGAGTTTTGAAATTTTCGCATTTCTAAAATTAGAATTTCTATTAAAGGATAAACTTGATATTTCAAAACATCATTTAATTTGTAAGTATTCATTTCTACATCCAAATAGTAAGTTCAAGTATCATATTTACTTTCAGGCGTTAAATTTACGTGGAACTTATCGTGAACATGAACGAAAACCATACTGCCATGAATGTTTTTATCGCTTATACAATGGTCTTATTTATGCTCCTGATGAAAAACAAGCGAAAATTGAAAAATTAATATAAATTAAAATTCTTAGTCTGCTAAAAAATATCTGAAAATGTGGGAAAATAGCAATTTTGACGCTTCAAATAGCGTTCATAATTGAGATTATATTTTTTGACCGAATTTTTTATCTAATAAAATACCAATCAAATTTTTTCAAAGTATTATTTGTTAAGCTCACAATTAATTTAGCTTATTTGTAACAGTACAATTTGTTGTAAATCTCTTTTCATTTGTAGTCATTTTTCATTTTCAATTGATTATGCATAATATATCTCATGTAATTTTTTTGTAATACAATACTTTTGAGTCTACATTTGCTACAGCTTGTGACAACGCCTCTGAAAGCTAAAAAGCAATTACAATTTGGTAAATATGCATATTCTTCTATATTGTTTAGCTAGTTTTGGAGATAAAATTAGATTTTATTCTGCAATGAAAGCTATGAACAGCAACAATTCAAGAGACGAAAGTAAAAAGCAAATGGTGACTGTTCATCAAAGATTTTCAGTGTGAGAAATTTAAAACTAATTTCTAATAATTTTGTTCAAATACTTTTATTTGTGAACAAGGATCAAATATGATCAACTATAAATGAATATCGTCTTCATATTTTCAAAAAATACAAGCGGTCAAAATTTTCAATTACAATATGCCATTAAAATGTGAAAAAATCGTTCGATAGCATTTTGGCATCTAAAACAAATTTTGAGTTTTTCAATAGAAGTTTTATTAATTCCTTTACACTATAAACGTTAGTATAAAAATGTGCTTTTAATGTTTTTGAAGTTTCAAATAGTTATTTTTTTTAAAGTAATTAGTATGTGGATACTTTTTTAAAATTAAAATGTACAAATTTTTCATGATAGGTACTAATTTTTTTGTTTTAAAGTTAATTAATGATTAATATTTTAATAAATATTAGCAGTCATTGTTAGCATTTTCAGCTTTTCGAAATCACTATTAAGTGTATCAAAAAATTCAGTCTTGAAAGTTTCAATAATAAATTTATTTGTGAATTACTTTTTTAGACAATACTAAGCCATTCAATAATTATTTTTGCAACAAAAGCTTCCACCACTACAAGGCGAATATCCGGTTCCACAGTAGCATTCCTGATTGAATGTTGATGAACATGCAGTAATATCAGGGAGGAAATTTGAAGAAGCATAAGGTTTATGATTATTACTGTACGAGGTCACTGGAATAGTACCGCAACTTGACCCTGAACTACATCCATATCCTGGATTGCCACTGTTACCATAAGTTAATGCGTTGGATAGAGAAGATTGATCCACATGAAATATATTTTATATTACTTGATATCAAAATTTTCACAAGTATAAATTCACTTAAAATTCTCATCTGTATTTTCGAGAATTCTTGCAGTTCAGAAGTACTAACAACGGTTAATTTCTGAAAGAATCCCAATCCATAAAAACAGTCTGTACTTGCTGCATAACTTGCGTGAAAAATCAATATAAAAGTGTTTAAGTTATTAGAAATATTAACGTAAGGTCAACACTATGCATTAACAATTTAAAATCACAAATAACTAATATTTAGAACATTATAATAATATAAGAATATAATTAAAAAAAGACTCACAGTGCCATAAGCACTTCCCGAATTGTAGCTGATATCATAATTACCGTAGCTTGGGTTCATTCCAAAACTGTAATCCCCGTTTGCTCCATTATAATTTTGAGTGCCATATGCAGCATAAGGTACTTCATAATTTTGTCCACCATATCCACTATACCCTCTAGTATTGTATATCTGTGCACTGTACCCACCGTAGCTTCCAGCGTTATAATTTTGTGCGGCATAGTTCATACTATTGTATTCAGGATGTCCAGAATACTGCCCTGGTATACATTGACATGGTGATGGACATGTACACAAAGTTTGGGAAGCTGAAGTTGCCGGGCAAGGACAGCAGTTGCATTGTTGTCGTTTTACACGAATTGTAGATTTTGATGATTTACTCGACAACCGTAGAACTGCTGCCTCCTAAAAATGTTAACTTTTATTTCAGTACTGTAATATTTGAGTTTAATATGTTTTAGGTATTGTGATGCTAAAGTGATAAAACTAATCAGTTTTTTTCACACTAAGAAAATTTTAATCAAACAGAAATACAAATTTAATAATCTGATTGATAAGTTGCTCAATTTATTTTAAAGTTTACGAACATTACTGAAAAATGTAACAATTTTCAAAAATTCATATCAGCTGATTATTACAACAAACACTTTGATATAATTTACTTTAATTTCAAAATTGTGCCTAAGTTTTTAAACACTTTGTAATATTTTGGTTTTTAAATATTTTCAGTAGCAAAATATTAAAAACAACAATGACAGCTGCTTTAAAATGAAAATATAATCTAAAAAATTTCTACAACTTTGTTTCTGGGCAGACTCGGGAAGTTAACTAAATAAACTGTATCAACATTACAGCTATCGGAGTTTTAATTATAAATTAGCTAGTTAAATTTGAGAAATAATAAAATTTATAATCTAATGAGATAATACTGAGAAGTTATATGAAAGTTAAAACGTACGGCAATAAGCAAAATGATGCAAAGAATAATCGAAGTCGAAGTAAGCAAATATTTTGAAGC